TGGTTTCAGCTCAGGTCATGATCTCACAACTCATGAGTCCTGCATCTGGCTCTGTGCTGACAGCGCAGGGCCTGCTTGGGATTCTCTGGCCCCCTCTCTCTCTGCCCCTCCTCTGCTCATGCTCTCTCTCTGTCTCTCTCAAAAATAAATAAATAAAAATTAAAAAAAAAAAAAAAGAAAGAATGAAAATGACACACAATTAGACCGAATGCTAATATACTGGCTGGCAGTCTAGGGATCCAAACAGATTCAGAAGGCTAAAATAATGAGGCAAAATAAGAGAGCTAAAATTTAACACATATGAACATTGTGCCAATTATGAATGAGTTTGACTAATATAATGGAAAGCCTAAATTTATAATAGCTTAACCAAACAGGCAGTATTCATAAGAAGAAAGTGTGGTAGTACCCCAAACTCTTCAGACAATGCCTGGAAGGTGGTGTTCCCACTATAGGATTCTCAAACTGAGTCATGTTCTTAGGAGGTCATTAGAATGGTGATAGGATTCAAATCCATGTCTATGAAAAATATTTGGAGAGAGTTAGGCATTTATTCGGGGGGGGGGGGGGGCGGAAATTCTTATTGTCCCATCTTAGGAAAGGAGAATCAGATTTTCTCTGTGCTACTCCAGATGGCAAAAGTAGGACCAATTGATAGTCATGGCAGAGAGGCAGATTTCAGTTCAAACTGAGTTTTTAACGTTAGAACACTCTGGAAATAAAATAAGTTATTCAAGGAGCTAAATTTCTAGTAATAACAAAAATAATGGCAATAACTAACTGAGGGTTTATAATGTACCAGGTACTTACATGAATTAATTTATTTTATATTCAAAATTACTCTAGAAGAAACTACTATTATCCTTGTTTCACAGATAAGGAACTCAATTTATTTGCCCCAGGCCAGACAGCTAGAAAGCAGAAGACATGAATCCATGGAGTCTGACTCCAAAGCTGGAGTTCTGACCTGCTCTGTGTGCAGGTAGAGGCTTGCTGACTAATGGTATGGGTGAAGTAGGGTGAAAGGTGTCAGATATGGATCAAAGCCTGGCTAGGATGAGGTAACTTACATGAGACTAATAGCTACATTCATCGAACACCTGCTGGGTGTCAGGCACGGGACTAAAAATTTCACGTACATTAAGAGATAATGCAGCAGGAGCACACAATGGTGCATTCAGTACACACTCAAGTACCATAAGCTGCTATGACCACTTTTGATCCTCTCAGCAGCTTTATTAGATGAGCATTATTGCATCTACTTTGCTAACAGAGAAAGTGATAACTTGAGAGACGAAGTAAATTATCCGTCAGGTGACAGTGCCAGTAAAGCTGGCAGGTGACTCAGGATACTACAGCTCTAGCCTTTCCACTAAGCCATGTTTCACCAGAATACTGACGCTTGCAACCTGGAAGTTTTAGGGTTCTGTGAAACCAGTAAGCAAATAATAACTTTAACAACAACAACGTCTATGCAGACTTAGATAAATCTTGCAAATTAGTAGGCCATTAGCTATTTGAAGCTAAACCTTAAAGAGTATAATAAGTACATACCAGAAGTGCAATGAAATGAGATAGGTTGTGTTTTAAAATTTTTCAAACTCACTATTTATCAGCAAAAGACAATCTTCCTGGCTCTTCTCTCTACAAATACCACCCAGAAATTCTCATATGCCGATAAATGAAGAGAAGTTTCAAATTAGAATTGTGATCATGAGTTGAAGCCAATGGCCTTCAAGGATCAGAGCTGAATAGAAGCGGAAGAGGCTAGGGTCTAAAAGCCCTTGAGGAAACAGGGCCTGAGACGGTCACTGCAGACTGAGACTATGCACAGGGTAGAGCTGTAAATGAGCTCTCTGCATAAAACTGGCAGCCGGACAAGCTGTTCTGCCTTCAGAACAGAAGAAAAAACAAAAACAAAAACAGGGGGTAGAAAAACTCCACCTGTTGGTGTGTGTAGACACATACAGGGACACAAGCTAGCAGGCTGGGCCATGGAGGGAAAAGGAGCCACTAAGAGAAACCGAGACCAAAGCCGCTGCAGGAAGTGGCTGTAGGACAAATTTGTATTGTCTTCAAGGTGACAACATCACCGTGGGAGGACGGAAGGAAGGGAAGGGAACGATGAATGCCTGTCTGGTGGGGGAAGGGAAAACAAAGAGTTGGGTCCCCATCTCCCATAGTTAGAAACCAATAAATAGTTTATAAAACTGAAAAACCAAGAAATAACAATTAAGCATGCTATTTAGAGACATGGCAGTAAACATCAAAATATTTAGTTGTACGAGATGAGAGTAGTTGCCTCTGAAAAGTGAGTAATGGGCAGGAGGAGGCCAGGGTATTGCTATTTTTCTTAACAAAACTTGTTGAATTACTTGACTCTTTATAAATAGAGTGCATGTAGAGGTGCCTGGGTGGTTCAGTCAAGTGTCCAACTCTTGATCTCTACTCAAGTCATGATCTTGTGATTCCTGGGATGGAACTCCACATTGGGCTCTGCACCGATGGCACAGAACCTGCCTAGGATTCTCTCTCTCTCTCTCTCTCTCTCTCTCCCTCTCTCAAAATAAATGAATAAACTTTAAACAAAGTGCACTGTGTACTATTGATAATGATTTAAAAAAAAAACTTTACTAAAGCTTCCTATTTGTTTGGGTTTATTCAATCTTGTAGATTCTTATGAACAGATTTTTCATGCTAGACACACACGGTCTTTTTTGGATTATTCTAATTCCTTCAAGTAATCCTTCCCTAGAAGCAGTTTAGCAGAGATAAAATCGCTTCATGAACAGGTTTGAAGTCACAATTGTAAATATTCATATTGTCAGGCAGCGTTAATCCTAAATAGATCCTGAATATGAGGCATACTAGCTTGGATTAAGAGTGAAAATAAAGGGGGCTTTTTTTTCCCTAACTGCCCAGCATTTCCAAAACAACAATATTCGAGGAATAGAGAATGGTGGGACTGTCAATATAGAGGGTTTGTGATCCTTAAGAATATGCATCACCATATTCTTATATGGTGATAAGTGTATCATATTGTGTATAGCAACCTGCCACTGAATTTAGCAGATACACATACACACGCATGCACATACTGATACATTATAGATACACATACTGGTAGTGTGAATAACTGTATACTTTTAACTTTTATATAATTACAAATTTACAAAATTTACAACAGTCTAAGGAACTTCCATATACCCAGCAGACTTGCAAATTATTTAAATTTTGCACCACTTAATCATTCTCTCTTTCTATATTTAATTTGTTTGTTTGTACATACACAGGCATACACATATATGTATGTATATTCTTTCTGAACCATTTAAAATTAAGTTGTTACCAGGTTAGAGGGCAACTATGCCCTTACCCCTACACACTTTTTGTATATTTTCTAAGAACAAGGACATTCTCTTATGTAACCAGTACAAGGACCTAAATCAGAAAGTTTAATATTGATATACTATTATCTAATCTGAAGTCCATATTGTCCAAATTAATGTGCTTCATAGCTATTTCTTTTTCCTTGTCCACAGTCCAACCCAGAATGCCATATTGTATTTAGTTGTGACGACTCATTGGTCTCTTTTAATCTAGACTAGTTCCTCAATGTTGAGAGTATAGACCAGATATTTTACAAAATGTCATTCAATCTGAATGTCTGCTGTTTCTCATAATTAAATTCATATTAGATATTGGGACATAATTCAATATTATTCCAATATTGTTAATGTTAATTTTACTAAGTGAAAGTAGTGGTCAAGACATTACTTCATAGTAAAGTTAATATTTTTCTCTACACAAATATTAAGTAATTTGTTTAAAAAATTTTTTTTAAATGTCTATTTATTTTTGAGAGATAGCGTGAGCCGGAGACGGGCAGAGAGAGAGGGAGACACAGGATCCTAAGCAGGCTCCAGGCTCTGAGCTGTCAGCACAGAGCCCGACAGGAGGCTCAGACCCACAAACTGTGAGATCATGACCTGAGCTGAAGTTGGATGCTTAACTGACTGAGCCACCCAGGTGTCCCTACTTTAATAATTTTAAATGACAAATTAAATTTCTTAAATAGATACAGGACCACTCTGTTTCCTTTCATATTGGGCTGGTTGTAGTAAGTTGTGTTTTGCAGGGAATTTCCTCTCAATTATCCAATTTTAAAAATGATAGTTGTTTATAATATCCCCTTATTATCCTATCAAAGTCTGTAGGATCTAGACTAATAACCCTGCCTCATTCTTGATATTGATAAATCTGTGTCCTCTCTATTTCTTTTTTTTTTTAACTTTTTTTTTTTAACGTTTATTTATTTTTGAGACAGAGAGAGACAGAGCATGAATGGGGGAGGGTCAGAGAGAGGGAGACACAGAATCTGAAACAGGCTCCAGGCTCCGAGCTGTCAGCACAGAGCCTGACGCGGGACTTGAACTCATGGACCGCGAGATCATGACCTGAGATGAAGTCAGCGGCTTAACCGACTGAGCCACCCAGGCGCCCCTCTATTTTTTTTTTTAAAGTTTATTTACCTATCCCAATTTACTTTCAAATAATATTTTACCCCTTCACATAGAATGTAAGAAACTTATAAAGCTATGCATCCACTTCTTTCCTGTCTTTATGCATTATTGTTACACTTTTTACTTCTACATATATTATGAACTCTACATTTTAATTGTCTTTTATTTAAATAACAAGTGGCTTTTAAATTGGGTGCCTGGGTGGTTCAATCATCTAAGTGTCTGACTTCGGCTCAGGTCATGATCTCACGGTTTGTGAGTTTGAGCCCTGCATCGGGCTCTGTGCTGACAGCGCAGAGCCTGGATCCTGCTTTGCATTCTGTGTCTCCCTCTCTCTCTGCCCCTCCCCTGCTGATGCTTTGCCTCTCTCACTCTCTCTCTCAAAAATGAACATTAAAAAAAATAAAAAACATTAATAAACATTAAAAAATCAAATACAATGAGGAAAAAGTATTTTATATATACCTACAAATTTACCTTTTCTGGCACTCTTTATCCTTTTGTGAAGATCCAAATTTCCACACTATATCATATTCCTTCAAGTCTGCTGGTGATGTATTCTCTCAGCCTTTGTCTGAAAATGTCTTTGTTATGCCTTCAAATTTTGAATGATACTTTTGCCAAACGTGGATGCTCCGTGGTTTTCTGGAAACTGGTGAGCGTTGTTCTATTGGACTCAAATTCTGAGCTCTGTCTCCTCTATGGTCACCAGCAATGGTAATCTCTGCCTAGATCTGTTAGCCTGCTTCTTCTAGCTGTGCTGCTTGGCGTTTCTCCCATGAATGTGCAGAACAGAAGTCAAAGATTTGGGCTGAATCTATATGCAGAATTCACTACTCCTCCTATGTGGTCATCTGCTTTCTAGAGTCTTCACTTTTCAGCCATTCTGACAGCCTCAGAGACTAGCCTTTTGCTTGAGTTCTAACTGCTCCACTCTGCAGGACTGGGGAGTGCCCTCAAGAAAAAAGCCATAAAAATTGCAGATTATATTCCAGATTCCAGTGTGACTTTCCTTCTTTTAAGGGTCAACTTCTCTCTAGTTTCCAGCAGCTTTGGTCACTCTCCAGTGCCTTCAAGTATGTATTAATTATACTTTAATTATACTTTATCCAAGGCTGAAAATTGTTATCTATGGGAGCATTGGTTCAATGTGAATTACTCTATCATTATGAAAACAGTAATATGAATAATTAAAAATTATATTTTCTTTGAGTCTTTCAAATTTGAGGTTGTGTGACTGCTATAGGTAGAAGACACGTCTCACTTAGTAATAACTTACTTTCTGGGAATGTAATAGGAAATATGGTTTCTCATGATTCTCATTCTGAATTGCAAAATTGTCCTCTCTTCTGACAAAGTACTCTGTCAAAGCAGTCAAGTGCAATCTCTTTCAGTTGTGAGCCATCCTTCTCATCAAAAACCTCATGATGTACCTTCCTTGTTTTCTCCATTTGTTAAATAAAGAAGAATTTTCCACTCCCTTCTAGATAGTTCTATTTTATTAGTTTTATATGTTGGGCTATTGTGCATGATTTTGTGTAAAGGAAGGGTGCAACTGTTAAAAACAGTTTATAAATCTGAGTCTAAATAATCTTTAATAGTCTCTAAAATTCAATAATTAATATATTTTAGTTTGCTCAACTATAGAAGATTGGTATGTGTGTATAAAATTAGCCTTTTGCATAGAAATTCCTATTCCTGGGGCACCTGGTGGCTCAGTTGGTTAAGTGTCTGACTTCAACCCAGGTCATGACCTCGCAGTTGGGGAGTTTGAGCCCCGCATCAGGGTCTCTGCTGTCAGCGTGGAGCCCACTTCAGATCCTCTGTCCCCTTTCTCTCTGCTCCTCCCCTGCTTGTGTGCACACTCTCTCTCTCAAAAATAAAATGAACATTAAAAAAAAAAAAAAGAAATTCCTATTCCTAAGTGATCTCCTTCAATGTGCTGCCTACTTGATAGCAGGTAGAATCATTTATCAACAAAATACTCCTCTGATTTATTTCTATTTGAGCTCATTCAAGGATCCATAATGCAAAACTCCCTTTATTACTAATAATTTTGCCATCAGTATTGCTAGTCTGTACTGTATGATATTTTCATAATAGTAATTGAACTAAAGGACAAAGAAAAGATTTTGAGAATTCTGGGAAATGTGTACTGTTCACAGCAAATGTTACTTATACTTAGTTCAAAGGCGTGTGTGCAGCCGTATGATGGACTAAGACTTACATAATAGTTTAGAGCTGTAACTGTGCCAACCTTACATCAGACACATTTACAAAAGACTGTCATTGCCCACAGTTTCATGCAATCGCTTTTCTGATTTAAGTTTCAGAGTTGTTAATGTCTGGATATTCCTGTTTATACGGAAGGTGGAGATTTCTACTTTGTGTTATGGAACTCATTAGTCGCCTGCTATCATCTTAATCAAGAAAAATAAATATTGTAATAAACATTCATGTAAAGCCTCCAGTGAACTAAGAGCTATTTGAATGAAAAACAATATGCTGGTATAGGTCAGAATGTTCCTTCCCCCTTGGTATGCTTGCTAATTTACTGAATGCATTCTGAGGTCTTTTTTTTTTTTTTTTTTTAACGTTTATCTATTTTTGAGAGAGAGAGAGAAAGAGAGAGAGCATGAGCAGGGGAGGGGCACAGGGAGAGGGAGACACAGAATTAGAAGCAGGCTCCAGGCTCCAAGCTGTCAGCACAGAGCCCCATGCAGGGCTTGAACCCATGAAACATGAGACCATGACCTGAGCTGAAGTCGGACGCCAACCGACTGAGCCACCCAGGCGCCCCCTGAAGGCTTTTAATGGTAAAGGAAAAGTACGAGGTGTTCTTTTTAGTGTGTTAACCGAGAGCACAATGCTTGTCTTCAGCCCACATACAAAAGCTAGTATAGTATCTGATCAAAAATACTGGTAGAGATTCCCCCTCCTACTTTGTAAGCTTCTTGGAGACACTGACCAAGAAGCTCATATTAATCTTTGTGATTCTGTCACGTACCTTACGTGTTGCCTTGCATTTTGGCAGGTGGCCAGCCAATGTTTGTTGAATAAATCCATCTTTATTTTGTAAATTTTTCCATAAGTCAAGTTGTTCAGGTAACAGGAAAATTTTAGGTCCTGATAGCCTTTTATGTTCAGGACATTATTGTTGTTGCCATTCTTATCTCTGCTACTGATGCAATAACTTAAACCCACCTACCAAATCATGCTATTTTAGCAATTAAAGCCTTCTCTCTTTCCTTTAGTTTCCTAAATTGCAAAATGAGGAAGACATCTTCTAGTGATACTTGATAATCAACTGAATGGCTATGTTACCAATGGCAAGTAGTACAAACACAAAGCATTAATAATTCCATTATAGTTGTAAGACTCATATGAGTGGTCAGGATCTTTAATTCTATCATCATATTGCAAAAACAAGATGAGCTCAGCTTAAACAAGAGATTCTTCTGTCAGAAGGGTAATACCAGATAATCCCAGGTAAACACACCAGTGTCTGCATTTTTCAGTGAAAACGAAAGTCTGTTGCTTTAGACGTGATGATCTTCCTCTTTACAAAATATTAACAATAGCCTATTTTAAAAATGCAAAATAGCTGTTGCTGGTATGTAGCTTGTTGGTGATAAAAAGTACAGTTTTTAGACCGAAAACTAACATGTAGTAAGAATGTCAGAAGCAAAGACCAAGAAGTCAGAAAACTCAAAGTATGTTTTGGTATTGGATCTGGGAGCTGAGCCATGTCACTGCAGTAAATGAGGTGGTAGAAAAGAAGCTGAGAAAGGTCCGATGGGATCAGACTAGGGAGGAGCTTAAATTCTCTATTACACAAGCTATCATACTCCATGCTATGGTGAACAGGAAGCCTTGGTTTTGTTTGGAGCAGGGATCTGGTTGTTATGGATACCGTAACAGGAAAGCTAGTCTCATAATAATGTGAAACAGAGACCAGGAGGAAGGGGGTAATCCTTACTCTCACAGAATAGAAAATTAAATCAACACTTTCTATTTTTCCTTATTACTATGAAATATATCATAGATGAAAGAGTAGAATACAATATATAGTTTAAGGAATAAACACCAGAATTACTTTCTAAATACACGTTTGCTACTTACGTATATATTCCTATGTCATATTTTTTTTTAGTTTTTCCTGTCCTTGATGTTATACATTGGAATCATATTTTAAGTATTTTTCTGTGATAGCTTTTTCCCCCATTCAGTATTTTTGAGGTTCTCATCCATATTCATCCTTATAGCTGTGGTTCATCCTTTTCACCATTGCATAGTATTTCATTATTTGAACACACCAAGTTTTATCCTTTAATAATGTTTCCAGGTTTTTGGTAACATGAACAGTGCAACTAAGAAATTCTTGCACATGCCTGTTAGTGTATATTAAAAGATTCTCTGGGGTAAATACTTAGGAATGGAATGCCAGATCACTAGAAATGGTATTTGCTTTTTTTTCCTTTCTCTCCTTTTTTTTTTTCAACTTACGAGGCAATACTAAATTGTTACCCAAAGTCAATATCAACTTTACAGTCCCATCAGGGGCATTATGAGAGCTTCTGTGGCTCCACTTCCTCATCAACATCAAAAATTGACTGATTTTTAACTTTTAGCCAATCTGGTAGGCGTGAAATGGTAGCTCACTGGTTTTAGCTTGTATTTCTCTGTTCTCTAATGAGGTTAAGAATCTTTCCATGTTTATAGAACTACTCTACGAGCCAGCAATTGCACTACTAGGCATTTATCCAAGGGATACAGGTGTGCAGTTTCGAAGGGACACATGCACCCCCATGTTTACAGCAGCACTATCGACAATAGCAAAGTATGGAAAGAGCCCAAATGTCCATCGATGGGTGAATGGATAAAGAAGATGTGGTATATATCTACAATGGAGTATTACTCAGCAATCAAAAAGAATGAAATCTTGCCATTTGCAACTACGTAGATGGAACTGGAGGGTATTATGCTAAGTGAAATTAGTCAGAGAAAGACAGAAATCATATGGATTCACTCAAATGAGGACTTTAAGACACAGAACAGATGAAAACAAGGGAAGGGAAGGAAAAATAACACAAAAACAGGGAGGGGGACAAAACATAAGAAACTCTTAAATATAGAAAACAAACAGAGGGTTACAGGAGGGGATGTGAGGGGGGAATGGGCTAAATGGGTAAGGGACATTAAGGAATCTACTCCTGAAATCACTGTTGCACTATATGCTAACTAACTTGGATGTAAATTTAAAAAAAATAAAAAAGAATCTTTCCATGTTTATTGGGGCGCCTGGGTGGTGTACTCATTTAAGCGTCCAACTTCAGCTCAGGTCTCAATCTCACAGTTTGTGGGTTTGAACCCCATGTCAGGCTCTGTGCTGACAGCTCAGAGTCTGAAGCCTGCTTCAGATTCTGTGTCTCCCTATCTCTCTGCTCCTCTTCTGCTCATACTCTCTCTCTCTCAAAAACAAATAAATATTAAAAAAAATTTTTTTAAAGAATATAGTTCATTGTGAGGTGCTTTTAAAAAGTAAAAAGAATCTTTCCATGTTTATTGCCCATACATGCTCCCTCTACTGTGAAAAATCTAATCATATAATTTGCTCACTTTCCAGTTGTTTTGTATTTCTTTTTTCATCTACCAGGCCACCTCTGTGTTACATCAGGTTTCCATTTATCCATGGATCTGTTTCTAGCAGCTGTTTTCTGGAAAATTCATTTTTCACTTACTTGAATACTTAAGACTAGTCAACTAAAAAACTATTTTTTTAAAGTAATCTCTGTACCCAACATGGGCTCAAACTCACAACCCCAAGATCAAGAGTCATATATGCTCCACCGACTGAGCCAGCTAGGTGTTCCCTAAAAAGCTATTTTTAATGAAAGCCACAATTGATGAATATAGAACAGTTTCTTTTTTCTTCTTTCTTTTCTTTTATTTACAAGAAAGTCTTGAAAATATTTAAGAATCACTAAGGATTAGTGTGCCACCAGAGGGAGCTCAAAGGGGTCCCTGAATTGTATAGCATGGTGTTCATGCATACACAGAATAAGGGAGTCTAGCTTACTGAGCATTTGCTGAATCATTTTCAGTATAACTTACATCAAAATCTTGGAGTTTTAAAGCATTTTGGGGGCACCTGGGTGGCTCAGTCATTAAGCATCTGACTTTGGATCTCAGAGTTTGTGAGTTCAAGTCCCCACAACAGGTGAGCTTGAACCCCCATCAGGTAAACTCCAGCCTGCTTCCAGTGAGCACAAGCCCCACTTCAAGTGAGTCCCCTGCTTCTCTCTCTCTCTGCCCCTAGTTCACTTGTGCCCTCTCTCTCTCTCAAAACAAACAAATAAATAAACTTATACAATATCCTTTAAAGAAAAAAGAAAGAAAGCATTTTTGTAGCGTGTCTCACCTTTCCCTCTAATATTTCACTATTTTTATTTCATTTTCCCATATCACTATGGCACAATAAGACACATCGTGAGATTAAATAACTTGTTTGGTATTGCATTTAGAATTTGTAATGTTCCTCCTGATTCTCTATTAAAGTTTCTGCAACCATTGCAGTCTTGACCCTTCCCTAGGCTCTGTGACCAATTCAGAAAGTGAGAAGTTTAGTACATTAGCTCTAGTCACTTCCTACAAATGAAGCTTGTCCCATTCTAGCCTTGCTGGCCAGGGACTAGTTATGAGATTCCGCCACCTCCTAAACCATTGTAAACAACAAGACTGGTGTTTTGTTTTTTATCAACTAGGTTCTCATCTGAAAAGCAGTTTCTGACTGTGTTCCTCCAAGAGACCAAAGTCCTGTCCTGAAACCCAGACCAGTGATATGCACCCCGTCAACTGCTCCTCAGGGCACTAGCAGCTAGGGATCCAGAGTGACTTTGTTAGCTGGAGTGTTTGTTTGCTTGTTTGTTTGTTCCACACTGCTTGCTGGGACAGAGGCTAATCATAGAACATAGACAGGCCACAAGCCAAGTCTCTTGGCTGCTTCTCTCTTTGTCCTGGTTGCTGGGAATCCAAAAAATAATTTTATATTTGATTACTATAGCTTTACTTTAGCAGCAATTGAGCAAAAATTTTCTTTGTATATTTTCATCTATTTATTGAGCCAGTGAACCTCTTGTCTATCCACTTTGGAATATGACTATATAAAAAACTGAATCTTTACCATCAAAAGCCGATAGTCCAGCATGAATGCAAGGCATCGAATAAGCTGTAACTGGTATAAAGGCCGAGGGCAGACACCCCTCCCCCAAATTGGGCCACTTTGGCATAAAGATTATTTTGAATTAAAAAGCAATCAAGGGGCGCCTGGGTGGCTCAGTAGGCTGAGCATCTGACGCTTGATTTTGGCTCAGGCCATGATCCCAGAGTTGTGGGATCGAACCCCACGTCAGGATCCATGCTGGGTGTGGAGATTTTCTCTCTCTCCCTTTGTTCTTCTTCCCTGCTTACTCTCTCTTATTCTTAAGAATAAATAAGTAAATAAATAATGATTTTTTTAAAAAAGAATAAAAATAAAAGCAATCAAAACCCAGTAGATTCAGAAAAGTTCCTTATCTCCCCAACTGCCTATAACATTTTAGATAGAGGACCTGCTCTAGGAAGAGATCTATTACCATAGATGGCTACATTATACTATGAACTAGGTATGGTAGACAGGGAGGAATTTAGCAAATCTTGTTTTATCCCAGTCCTCTATGTCCCGTTGTTTCTGGGGGACCCGCAAACATTTGTTTACCAAACATTTACTTTTTCATCTTCCTGTGAATTGCATTACTTCCTTTTGAAGTCCCAGACCCTTACCTTCTTCACCTTAGTTCAAAATGATATATACCTCGTTTTGCCTGTCTACAATTTTCACATCTGTGTGGAGTCCCCATACGTACAAAATTAAAATTTATTTTCTCCTGTTAATCTGTCTCATGTCAATTCTTAGTCCAGCTAGAAGGTCCTTGAAGGGGACAGGAGACATGGAGAACACCTAAATACTCATCTTCATTCCTGGATTACCGAGAAGTCACATACACCAAACCACTGTCCTCAGTAAAAACCCCAGGCCCCAAGCAAAGACCAAGACTCTCTTTCCTTTCCTTTCTTAGTCTCTCATGCTCCTATACTCTCTGTCTTCAATAAACCGCTCTCGCTTCCTTTCAGCTGCATTTGATTTCCATCCTGTTGGAAGCCAAGGCACCCTCTTGGCAGGTCCTGAAGGACCCACCTCTGGGTCCTCAGTCCCAGCCAGCCTGCATCACCAACTTTCAAAGAGAATGTGAAATGATGTATCACTGGAGTATTTGCTAGAATTTCTGAGCTGGGGTTTCACTGATACCACTAGTGACTTATCAAGTGGACTCTTAAGTGTCATAGAGGCTGATTTAATATAAAAGGAGAGAACATGGAGACGATAACTAGTGCAAATCCTTATCCAGTCTAAAATGAAAAGAAGAAAGAAAAGAGGATTACTGGCAGGGGCCAGGCAAGCTGCATGCATGACTGAACCAGGTAAAGCTGGGACACGGAGAACTGGAAAAGACATGCTCCAATAAATGTCTGCCAGACAGGAATGAGGGCCTAGTGTGCCCAGAGTGTCCCAATGTATAAGAGAAGCTAGAATTTAGAGTTTTATCTTGAAAAAATTTTAATGTTTATTCATCTTTGAGAGAGAGAGAGAGAGATGTGAGTAGGGGAGGGGCAGAGAGAGAGGGAGACACAAAACCTGAAGCAGGTTCCAGGCTCTGAGCTGTCAGCAGAGATCCAGGCGGGGCTCAAACCCATGAACTGCAAGATCATGACCTGAGCCGAAGTTGGACGCTTAACCGACTGAGCCACCCAGGTGCTCCTGAAATTCTCAATTTAACGTCAAATAACTGAAATTTTTTTTGATTGTGCAAGCTGAATAAAATGCCTCTGCCTTTTTATGATCTTTAATTTAGACTGCCTTTTATGATGACTTTCTAAGCATGGATTCATCGACTGAAGCCAACTAGATCTTGTTGTTTCTCCCATATAAATCATCTCTCCCTCATCCTACTGATGGGGTTTTGGACTGGTGGTGGGGGTTCAGAGCAGACGGCCAAGAATTCTTGAACATGTCTTTGGTGCATAAAAGATGATTTTATTAAAGCGTAGGGATAGGACCCAGGGGCAGAAATAGCTGCACTAGTGTTGTAAAGAGTGGTTACATACTATGAAGTTGGGGGAGATAAAGTCAAGAGGAAGTTTCTTAAAGGGATTTCCACATGCTAAAGAAGACTCACAGATTACTGGAATCCTCACTATTGTCAAACTAAAGTTGTTTTTCCCTCTAGCAAAGAATTATCATTAAGACAGTAGGGAGTTCCTGGAGATTAGGCTATTGATAAGGTGGCCTTTTTTCTTGTAATTTACTAAGACATTTGCAAACTGATGGAGACTCAGGTCAAGCTTGACTGTGACCTCTATCAGTTAACCATTGGTTTTCCTTCCTTTCCTTTGTCCTCGGGCAGCCAGGAGTAACTGAGGAATATCACACATATCCCACCTGGGCGGTGGGGGTGGAGCATGTCTATGGAGGAGGGCTGGGGGGGAGGTGCTGTCACTCATGCCTTGCCCTCAGTTTGCCTTATGCTCCCTCATCACTACCACCAACCTTCAATCCCATCCCTATTCACTTGCTTCTAGTATCAAAAAAGGTCTAGATGAGACAGAAGTAAGTTAAGAGGCATTTCAGTCTCTCTCTCCCCAGAGAAGTTTTCTTTACAGAGGGAAGTAGAATAGGTGAAATGCAAGGGTTTGGGGCTTCTTTGTTTTATTTTGTTTTTTTAATTTTTCTTTTCTTCCCCTGAAGTAGTCTACAGACTAAAACATTATCCCAGAATTTCTTCCCTTTCTAGAAAATGGTCTACCTAGAAAAAAATAATGCAGATTTTTTTTTACTACTGCTAAATCCATGCTTCTGTGATATTGTCATATTGTACAACTCCCTGCCAGTTGATAACTGAATATAGAATGATACTTAAACACACAGTAACAAAGATACTGCTCCCTAGTTTATACCAGCTGTCCTAAGAGCTGTTTCAATATCACAGGGACTGTGCTCTACCTTCAGGCAACTAGGTATTCAAAATGTAAGATTATAAATTCTCCTGGAAAACAATTCCACTCTTCAGATATTTTTGTTCACACATGAGTTAGGTAATACTGATGAAGGAGCATAAGGCAAGCTGAAGGCAAGGCACCAAGCTCCCAACCCCCCCCCCCCCCCCCAATGGGATATGTGTGATATTCCTTAGGCACTCCAGACTGCCCAAGAACAAAGGAAAGGACAGAAAACAAATGGTTGAACTGATAGAGATCACAGGACCTGAGTCTCCATCAGTTTACAAATATCTTAGGGAATTACAAGAAAAAGGCAGGCAATCTTATCAATAGCCTAATCTCCAGGAACTCCCTACTGTCTTAATGATAAGGCCTCCAGTAATCTGTGAGTCTTCTTTAGCATATGGAAATCCCTTTAAGAAATTTCCTCTTGACTTTATCTCCCCCAACTCCACAGTATATAACCAGTCACTCTTCACACCCCCAGTGCAGCTCTTTCTGCCCCTGGGTCTTATCCCCGTGTTTTAGTTGCTTTAATCAGCTCTGGACCCCCATTACTCCAAAACCCCATCAATACTAACAGCAGATATAACTATAAGACAGTTATCTGTTTACTAAAGATGCAAAATAAATTTGATATTTTATAGCAATCCTGAATAAATCCAGATATAGTTAGAATACATTGTTTTTCAAATCTTGTTTTCTCATTAGTCTTTTTAAGATTTTATTTTGAATAACTACTTTTTTCTCAAAAAAAATTTTTTTAATGTTTTTATTTATTTTTGAGACACAGAGAGACAGAACATGAGCAGGGGAGCGGCAGAGAGAGAGGGAGACACAGAATCCGAAGCAGGCTCCAGGCTCTGAGCTGTCAGCACAGAGCCCGATGTGGGGCTTGAACTCACGGAGTGTGAGATCATGACCTGAGCTGAAGTCGGACGCTTAACTGACTGAGCCACCCAGACACCCCAGTAATAACTACTTCTAAAGCAGGACTCAACTCATCACCCTCAGATTAAGGGTCACATGCTCCACTGATTGAACCAGACAGGTGCCCCCCCAACCTTTTTAAAGATGTTAGTATTTTCTCACTAGTCTTAAATCAACTCAACTATTATTGCTAAAATTTCATATCTCTTCTTGTTTTTTAAAAGCCTATTGATGAAGTTTGGGGGTGATGGTAGGGTAGTCTGGAACTGACAGCCAAGAAAGAATTCTTGAAGACGTCTTTGGTGCAAAAAGGTGATTTTATTAAAGCTCTGGGATAGGACCCATGGGCCAAAGAGCTGCACTGGGGTCATGACTATATACCGTCAGGTTGGCAGGGAGTCAGGGATGGAGTAAGTCTCTAAGGTGTTTTGGAAACAAGGTTTCCAGGACCTTGAGGTAGGGGAAATACCAATTATTACTGTTTCATGAAGCCTCAGTCATGAGACCCTTCAGATGTATATCAGGAGGACTTAAGCTTGGAGTATGATTGCCAGCATATTTCTTGGGGCAGTTGAGATAAAGGAAGTAGACTTACAGGATCCTGGAGGTTGGGATAAGGTGAAGCTAAGATTCTCTTTTGCCCCAGCAAAGTATCATCATCTAGGCAGCTGAGCTCCTAGAAGGAGGTCACTTTGCCCAGTTTCAAGGACTTGTCACTGGGCCATAGCCAGTAAGGGAATTTAACTTTTCATTTGCTTTAGTTTCCCACATCACCCTGGCAAGCACTTAAACCCCTTTCCTTTGTTCCTGGGTAGCCAGGAGTGTCTGAGGACTATCACACGTATCCCACCTGGGTGTGGCGGGGGTTGCTGTTAGCCTGTATTTTGCCCTCAGCTTGCCTCATGCTCCCTCATAACTATCACATCTGACTGTGAATATGAGAAATTTTAGCAAGGAGATATAATATGTGTTCCTCTCTCTTCTCTAGTTGCTTGCTC